TATTGGCATATATTTGGTAAGGTATAAAAGATAATGGTATGCCCAGTAAATAGATACCAAACATGACATGCTTTAAAACTGTGTATGCCCCGTGTGATGGCGATAAACTGCATACATTTTTAATATCCATAGTCAACACTTTAAAAGCCTTTAAAGCTACCATTTTAGATTTACAGGTCTAGAGGTCTAGTGTTAGAAATACTGCCCTTGATCTGATGTTCACAGCGATACCTCATATGTATGGTGCAACCGCTGTTTACATATGAGCACAGGGTCAACACTTGTGCACACAGGTGTGTGTGCATGGGAGGGGCAAGGTTTTTTTTTTTGTTTTATTTGAAGTTATTTTGATTTTTTTAATTATTTTTACACTGTACCTTTCATTTTTTTTTTTTTGATCACTTTTATTTCTATCACAGGGAATGCAAATATCCCCTATAACTTCAATGGGCATTGTCATATATTTCTTTTTTGAGAAATCTGGGGTCTATCAGGCTCTAGATATCTCCTCTGTCCTTACAGTATCTAATCAAACCAAAATCGGTGTGATCAGATGCTTTCCCAATTTACAAATGGCGCTGTTTATATCCTGCAAAACTGTGATGAAATGCTCGTAGCTTCCGAATTCTTAGACTATAGAGATGATTGGCACCACTCTGGTCTCCAATCGGCTCTATGGTCAGCTGGCAGAAACACCGGCTGCATTCTCATGTTTCCCCGATGGCACGGGACTGCCCGAGAAGGCCGTGGAAGGCAGCGGGGGAGGGGGGCATCAAATTCCGCTAGTAAAAGAAATCCTGCAGCTAATTAGCCACTAGGATTGCTTTTACATGAAAGCCGATCGCCGGCTAAAAAAAAACGATACCAGGATGATGCCTGCAGCTGTAGGCATCATCCTGGTATAACCATTCAAAGTCCAGTGATGTACCAGTACGTCGCTGGTCCTTGTTGGGTATATATGCTATGTTCTTTTTTTTTCTTTTTGTATGCAGCCAGTGGACTGAATGGGGAAAAAGAGAAGAAATCTCTGCCAGAAAAAGTGTGTGGTATGCCCACCATTAGAATATTCCACCCTGCATCCACCCACTTCTAATGGTCGGCACACATTTGGTCACACTTTGCCACATGCGCCAGTTCCAAGATTGTACAAATGTCTAAATAGTGGCACGCTTGAATAAAAATTGTCCACGTATAAGTGGTACCCCATATGGAAAAAGGATGACACCAAGTCACAAACTATCTTGCCACTGCTCCCCATGTAGTCTGGGTATCCGGGGGGGCTCCACGTGACTATTCCCTCGTAAATCTGAAACTTATAAGCATAGCCTGTTGTCCTCTCACAGGTCTTCTACATCTTGACCCCATATCTGGCACGCTTGCTGGGGATAAACTGTTTGAATGCTAGACGGCCAGAAAAATTAATCAGGGACTCATCAACGCAGATGTTTTTCTGGGGAGTATAGACATCTCCAAATTTTAGGTTAAGGTGATTTGCAAGGGGCTGAATTTTGTGGAGCCGGTCAAATTCAGGGTCACCCCGAGGATGACCGAGTGTATTGTCGTTGAAATGCATAAAACACATTATACTCTCATATCTATGCCTGGCCATGGCAGCAGAGAACACGGGCATAGGATTAATCGGGTCTGCGGACCAATAGAACCGCAATTAATTTCTTTTAGTAATGCCCATGTTGTGGGTTAGGCCCAAAAAAAATTTAAATTCGGAAACTGTAATGAGTTTCCATGCGACTGGTCTGGCAATGTTTGAATTTGGGTTGGCGGCGATAAATTGTTGTGCATATAAATTGCTTTGATCCACAATCAACGCATACAGATATTCTGTGAAAAACCGCTCCAAAATTCAAGGAGGTATGTGAAAGACCAAGATGTACTAGACCGCTGGTATTTGCCAGTTCACCAAAAGGTAGCGTGGCACTAGTACTGGCACTCTGCTGCATATGAGAGTCATCAAAATTTACCGGAAAGTGCTAACCGAGATCAGGCCTGATTATGCGACCACTGCGGTTTTGTGTGCAATGTATCAAGTGACAGTGATCTACTGACACTGCACTTGCTGGAGGAGAACGGGGGTGGGGGGTAAACATATTGGCTAAACGCAGGTGCCGGGGCTGATCCCGCTAACGCTGCGTTTTTGGAGACGCTATACTAATGTGAACGCTGGTATAGTGCTGATCTGATCAAAGATATTGATCCGTTCAGACACTATACTTGCAATGGAGGTTTATTGTGCATGAGCATTCTCCTGGCAATCAAGTGGTTAAATGTGATGACTGGTGTACTGAAGGGCAATCTGACACTATCTGGGAGGGGTGTGAAAACCAAGGGAGCACAAATTGTGTGTGTGTGTGTGTGTATATATATATATATATGTATGTATATGTATGTGTGTGTGTATGTATGTATGTATGTATATATATATGTATATATACTGTATATATATATATATATATATATATATATATATATATATATATATATATATATATATATATATATATAAAATATGATTTTTGCACACCCATGCCGCCCTGTAGCAGTATTTCTGCTATAGGGCGGTCAGGAAGCGGTCACAGAAGCGAGTTTGTGTTACGTCGCTGCGTTACTTTAACTGACAAATGTGCAGTCATGCAACACTGCACCCAAATTAAATTTACGTCCTTTTTTTCCCACGAATTGAGCTTTCTTTTGTTGGTATTTGATCGCCTGTGCGGTTCTTATTTTTTGCGCTATAAAAAAAAAGGCTGACAATTTTGAGAAAAAAAAACCAATATTTTGGACTTTTTGCTACAAAACATTCCAGTAAAAAAGTTTAAAAATCTAATTTCGTTATAAATTTCGGCCAAAATGTATTCTGCAGCATGTCTTTGCTGAAAAAAAAATCCCAATACGTGTGACTGAATTGGTTTACGTGAAAGTTATAGCATTTACAAATGGCGGGAAAGATACTGGTATTTTTTTTTAATACTAATAATGGCAGCGATCAGCGACTTATGGCGGTGATCAGCGATTTATGACAGTGACCAGTGACTTATGGCGGGACTGCGGTGGACATTTTGACACTGGGGGGGAGCTGACTTGGGGTCACTGACATCCCCAGTGACACCAATACAGTGATCAGTGCAAAAAAAAAAACAAACACTGACGCTGTACTAATGGCACTGGGGAGGAAGGGGTTAACTTTAGGCAATGAAAGGGTTAACTGTGTGAGGGGAGTGTGTTTTACTAGGGGGTGGGGGTGTGTACTTTACGGGAACACGCTGATCCCGAGAGATAAACTCCTCTCTCAGGATCAGCGTGTTAGGAGCTGACAGGGAGCGGAGCTGCATTGTAAACCATGCAGCTGTGCTCTGTGTCACTGTTTGCTGGCAATTGCCGGGAACCGGCGGGTAATGACCGGTTGGGACCCGGTGATTGACAGCCGCGATCTGCGGCACGGGTAGGCCGGTCGCACGCCCCCTACCTGTTTTGCAAAATGACGTTTTAAAACGTGATTTTGCGCAACGGTGCCACCCTGTAGCCGTTTTTCTACAGTGGCTGGAAGGCAAGTGGTTAAGCATTGTGTTTATAAACATATCAGTGTTGTACACATGAAAGGATTTGGATACATAGTGTACTAAAGTGTGTGGAACTTATAGACTTGCACAAAATATGGTTATTGTGGGGACAGCAAAGTTTGGAATTAAGGAGGAACTTGACATGGACATAAGCCAATTTTACCTATCAAGTTTTTATTACTCATGATACCCCTGCATTATTTCATTAATTTAGTGGCAGTAAAAAATGAAATAATGCAGGGGTGTCAGTCTCCTATTGGGTTTAATGCATCTTGGTGATGTCGCATGTAGATGACATTATTGAGACATAAATTAAGAACGAAGACTAGGGGCCTGAAGACCACAGCGACACTTGCTCTAAAAAAGGAGTAAGCCTAAAAGGAGAATAATAACTGAAGTATCTTGTGAAAGTAGTGTCTAATTTGAACATAATGGTAATGTTCTCCTAACCACTTGCGGACTGCCCAACCGCCTGTTTGCAGTACAGTACGTGTACGTTTCTGGCCTCTTCCGGGTACAGGGTGCGCATGTGCCTTTGCCTGCTAACTCCCCTTGTGATTGTACACAGCAGGAGCTTGGCAGCAGGTCCCAGCTAATGATTCATGACCAGGACCTGCTGATCAGCTGTGTCCAGTCACAGCCTAGAGCTCTGTATTGACAATCAACACAGGACTCTGTACAGAGGGAACAATCTCTCTGCTTCTTTTTCCTACAAAACAGGGAGAAGAAAGAAATATATTTAGAAAGATGCAGCACATAATACACACATTAACACTTGTCAGGTGCACACTAACCTCTTGATTATACGCGATGTAAACATTTTTCATTTATATAATAAATGAAAAAAAAAAAAACAGTAGTGATCAAATACCACCAAAAGAAGCTCTATTTGTGTAAAAAAAAAAAAAAAAAAAAAAAAGATATAAATTCCATTTGGGTACAGTGTTGCATGACCGCGCAATTATCAGTTAAAGTAGTGCACTGCTAATTAGCAAAAAATGGTCTGATCATCAAGGGGGTAAAACCTTCCAGAGCTGAAGTAGTTAAGGAAAGTGGGAGCTTTGAAGCCTAAGTGTCATGGAAACCTTCTTTGTACAGCCAATGAAATTGCTCCCTATTTCCACAAAAACAGGTGGAAATAGGGTGCAATGAAGAATTTGGAGTAAACAAAGATGCGTTGATATAAGTCCTTCAGAGAATTTAACAGAACCCCAGAAACGTAGAGAACAAGCGAAAATGGGGTTTACTGTTTTTTGGGCTTTGAGGCATCAGGCGCCAAGGACGGGTGGAAAGGGATATTTGGTGGCATTCTGTTGTATCCAAGGAAGCCCTTAATGCTATCCATACATACATTTTGAATAGAGTTTTTTGGTAGCTGTTTGGCATAGTCAGATGTCACATCATACATTTCTTGTTCCTATTTAGGTTAAGACTACAAGAAGACAGAAGGCAAGCCCCTGATAGTCAAAACACTGCTGATCAGAGACTGGCTGGTTCAGGGTCCCACAAACAGGATGAAGGTTTGGATGACTTCCTATCTCGACTAATTGAAGAGCGGGACACCTTGTTAAGGACGGGAGTGTATACTCATGAGGACCGAATCATTAGTGAACTAGATCGTCAGATCAGAGAAACCATGGCAAAAAGGAGCATTAGATAGTGCTTGTTTGTTTCATTTGACCACATGATATTGGTCAATAATAATACTGTACATAGATTCTGCTGTGGTTTTCACATTTTTTAACACAAAATAAGTATTTTTATAATGTTTTTAGTTTGTACTAAATGCCTCCTTTTATTTATAAAATTTATTCTATTCTGTACATTTGCATTATGTTCAGTTTGTTTTTTATGAATGCAGGAACTGAAAGAATTACTTATAGGTGTGCCTTGAAAAGTATATATTTTGTCTCCTATGGTTTCTTAACAATACTTTATTAAATTTGTCTGCTAAATTATGTCATGACATGTGTTTTATGGTTCTCAATGGCTGACCGTAATGCTGGTACCTGAAAAATGGCTGGATCATGACTGTTATCTAATGGCTGTGGCATCTCAAGCATTTGAAGCAAAGTGAATCACATCTCCAGACTTTAAGTTGGGTGTTTGTTCTCTAACAGTATCTTTTCTTCCCAGATTGACGTGAATTGCTATAAACTCCCCTAGTTAAGAGAAACTACATTTTATTTAACTACTAAATAAGTAGATCCTATAGTAGGCTAACATAGTTTCTGCCACATATTCAATAATGACGTCACAATGTCTCCTCTAAAAGTGAACCAATTTTGTAATGTGAAACCTATACAGAGATTTTTTTTTTCTCTCTTACGTTCATTGACAGAACCAGCTCTTCTGATTCTTGACCATAGGGTTATAATTTCACTTACAGGAGTAGGACACTAGGCAGGAAAAAGAACACAGCACTGCCTATGGACCAGTTAGCTGGTATAAAACCCCCTCTGCTACAGGAAAGACAGTTTTTCTGCCAGGAGTACGGACCTCATTCCCTGGTGGGACCTTTGGTTACATAGTTTTTTTTTTTTTTTTCCTGCGGAGATCTTCAATCAACAGCCGAGCTGGGCAACAGGCTAGATAATCTAGATCAGTGGTCACCCCAATCTTGCCAGTGAGCTTGCGCAGACCTATAGCCCAGCACTGGGTCAGCTGCAACAAAGCCCAGTATGGTAAATGTTTTACGGGGGCATAACTGGGCCCCTGACTTCCACATCACTGCTCTACCCTGCCCCCCCCCCACTTTGGTGGTGAGGCAGGTCTGCCATGGGAACGTTACCCACACACTTTACTGGATCGATGAGTAAACATGCCTCCTCCCTTCCCCCTGGGATGAAGCACGGGTATTCCCTGGGGTGGTCAGCCCTGCAGGGTCACCTCCGTCATCCCAAACCTTGGTAGTAACCTATTCTTGGGACACTGGGTTCACCAGCTTGCAACCATTCTGCCCGAATGTGCAGTCCCCTGGATGGCTGTGGAGGTTGAATGCTGCTGGGGTGGCGCTGTCTCCATATACTCTCCTTCCTCATCTCATTTGTGGCCTGTTGGGTTGTTGCCTAGCAGTGGGGTGCATGTGGGTGCAGGGTTTGATCCAGTGCTCTTGTTGGGTACCACCCGTGAGCTGGAGATGTTTTTGGGCTACTCTTCTCCTTCACTGGTCGTGGGCCTGTATAATGGTGTTCTACTGCCCCCCCAAAAGACACTGCGTGGTTGTGCTATCCGACAATTTAGGTCGTGGCTTTGCGGCTGTGCCAACTGCCTTTTTGGTTTTGAGCTTTCACCCTTCCTTGCCATCACTATGCATGGTAGCCATGCCCTGCTTCTGGCAGGGCGGATTGAACACTGGGTAGGCTGGAGCGCCGCCCTGTTGTGTTGGGTGCCCCTCCCCTTTCTATTGCCAGTCCCTACATAGTTTATAGCTGGTGGCCATATTGCTGTGGCCTCAGCTGGTGGTCATTTTCATGGGGCATGCCGGCAACTAGGCTTGAGAAAAGCCGCCTACAGTCTTGGTAGTGAAGCCAGGAGATGTTTAGCTTACTCCCGCATGTCAGCACTCACACTGTCTATGCTTGACGTGGGGCTCATCCCCTACCCTGGTCTTGTGCCCTGGGGCACCCTGTGGAGGCTGGTGAAGCACGGGAAGAGACCATGATGGTGATTCATATCGCTCTCCTGGGTTGGCTGGGGTTGTTCCCGGTCAGGCGGTAGATATCAAACCTTCCAGGGAATGAGGTTCCCAGAGGCCTGGGCTCCAGCTTTGATGCATGCGGATCCCACAGCAGCATCCTCTGGGTACTTGAGTGTGGAGGACAGGTTCTCTGCCTCTCTGGGTACACAGGGGAAGGCATTAGCTGCCGCCCTTATGGGCTTTGGGTGAGTGATGCTACATTTTGGGGCCCCTGCTGCAGTGTCTGGGTCTGTCGCCTGAGTCTGCATACTTTCCTTACCCTGCATATTTTTACACATTCCAGAGTTGGGAATGTGTGAAACGTCCCCTGGTTCCAAACACATTGCAGTACATCACAACTTCGTGGAGGCCCTTTTGAAGAAATGGACCTATCCTCCTATTTTGAGGTCAACAACCGCAGCTGTGATACGGGGGGGTCCTCCTTCCTTACAGATCTTGCAGACCTCAGGGCAAATAGGTTGCTCTATATTTTTCCCATTGTGTGGCTGTGTTCACGATGGCCTGTTGTGTCAGATGTTACTGAATGCACCAGGATTCTGTGGCAAAGTCTGTCCACCAGATGAGTGGATCAGTAGTCCATGGATCTGGCGAACCAGAAGCAAGGATACGTTTCTCCCGCAGACCAGGAGGAGGAAGGAAGCCCTGGCCCTTTTTTTTTTTTTTTTTTTTTTTTTTTATACTGCCCAGAGACTTTTTCTGGTTCCTTTGATCCACAGGTTGTGCCAGGGGCTCCTGGTTCCACATATCTACCATGCCCGCTGGCCAGTTCTCTGCATGAAAGCTTCCCTGCACCCATTTCTAGGATGGGAGGGGCGTCCGTTTGGAATGAGGAAGGTCCACGGGCCAAAGAGCCAGCAACCAACATTCCTTTCCTGCTCGGAACGATCCTGTCCCAGGGTCCGCTTTGCCACCCTACTTACCATCTCTGGCTTGACAGCTTTGCTATTGAACAGCCGGTTTTGAGGGACAGAGGGTTGTTTGGCTTTGGTGACTTACAATGTGACAGAGGTGTGCAAGTCTACCTCTTGGAAGTTATATCATCGCACCTGGAAGGCTTATCTTGGCTGGTACGAAGCTCTGGGTGTCCATCTACCTTCCAGCTCGGTGGCTCGGGTGTTGGTCTTCTCCAACAGGGGTGTTTTTGAATGTAAAACTTGCTTTGAGTACCATTAAGGATCAGGTTTTCATTTTCACTGTCCTGTTTCAGCGTTCCTTGGTCATACACTTCTTGATTTGCACCGTTATCCTTAGGGTCGTTGTGTGGCGTCCCCGATGTGTTCACTGTTGCTGCTATGGGACTTGTCTATGGACTTTTCAGTCCTCAAAAACCTCCCTTTAAGAGTACTTGGGATGTTCATCTGATTTCTCTTTCTCAGCAAGTTGCCTTCTTGATTGCCTTCCTTTCCGCACAAAAGGTGACAGTGCTGGTGGCCTTCTCTTGTGTGTCATTTTATCTGGTTGTATACAACAGTATGGTGATTCTCTGTGTATACCCTCCCCTTTTTCAAGGTGGTGATAGAATTTCACCTAAATGGCCACATTATCCACCCTTCATTGTGCCTGTGGTTTTCACTTTCTAAAGACATTGTATTGCTCTTCTTAAATGTGGTTTGGGTGTACCTGTCTGCTACTGCCTCTTCACAGGTCAGATTCTCTTTTTGTACTCACAGATGGTCCAAGAAAGGGCCTCTGGCATCATCTAACGCTGAATACAGCAGTCATTTTATACAGGCGCATGCCTTAAGGATCAGGCTTCTCCCTTCCCGATTATGGCACACTCCACCAGGCTGCTTAGCACCTTCTGGTAATTCCATCAACAAGTGTATGTGTGTTTCGGGTCTTGAAGGTGGCTGCCAGATTGTCTTTGCAAACCTTGACAAATTTTCTGCACTTGGTGTGTTGGCACCTTTTTGGATGCTTGCTTTTATCCACAAGTTTTGCAGGCTGCTGTTTTCAGGCTCCTTATTGCCTGTTTTGGGTGGTTGGAACACTTGCCTGGTTACCACTGTTGGTTGTTGTTTGCCCACCCCTTGTTGAGGCACTGCTTTGGGATGTCCCTATGGTCAAGAATCAGAAGAGCTGTGTCCATCAATGAACGTAAGAGAAAACAGAATTTTTTGTTACTCTCTGTAAAAGTCCTTTCTCTGAGCTCATTGACAGACACAGTACCCCACCCCTCCTGTTGGAGTTTATACTTCTGCTTTGTAACAAACTAGCTTACTTTTGCAGAGGAGTTTTCATACTTTCAAGGACTGCCCATAGGTGATGCTGTGTTCTTCCTTTTTTTTTTTTACACCTAGTGTCCTACTCCTTTAGGTGGTGCTTTAACCCTATGGTCCAAAATCAGAAAAGCTAGGAATTGAGGTTCAGAAAAATGGCAGCAAGTGCTCTGGACTGAGTCAAAATATGTTTGGCTGTAGCAAAAGGCAGTTTGTTTGTGAAGGGTTGGAGAGCAGTACAATAATGAGTGTCTGCAGGTAACAATGAAGCATGGTTGAGGTTCCTTGCAAGTTTGGGGCAGCATTTCTGCAAATGGAGTTGGAGATTTGGTCAGGATCAATGGTGCCCTCAATGCTGAGCAATATAGGCACATACATAGGGACAGTCTGAGGTTCAGCGGTGTTGGATGGACCGCAATATGATATCCCAGAGATGTTCTATTGGATTTAGGTCAGGCGAGTGTGAGGGTCATTCAATGGTATCAGTTCCTTCATCCTTCAGGAACTGCTTTCATACTCTGGCCACATTGTCGTCCACCAGGAGGAACCCAGGACCCACTGCATCAGTGTAGGGTCTGACAATGGGTCCAATGATTTCATCCCAATACCTTATGGCAGTCAGGGTGCCATTGTCTAGCCTGTAGAGGTCTGTGCGTCCCTCCATGGATATGCTTTCCCAGACCATCACTGACCCACAACGGACATGCTGAACAATGTTACAGGCAGCATAACATTCTCCAT